AAAAAATGCTTTTTTTTTTTTTTGCAGAACTGGGGATTGAACTCAGGCCCTTGTGCTTGCCAGGCAAGTGCTTTTTCTACTAAACTATCTCCCTGGTCCCCAGATTGGTCTTGAACTATGTAGCATAGGTTGGCCTCAAATGCAAGCAATCCTCCTGCCTCAGCCTCTGAGCGCTGGGATTACAGGAATGCATCCATGCTCAGCTATACTGAGCCTCTATACTTAGCTACTACTATACTGACTGGTTGACTTTTTAAATCTCTCTTCAACCTTTATGCATATAAAAGTTGGTTGTATGTGGTCGCACAAGCCTATAATCTCAGCATTCAAGAGGCTGAAGCAGGGAGACTGCTGCGAGTTCAATGCCAGCCTGGGCTACATAGCAAATTCAAGGCCATCCTGGCCTATATCTCCAAAATGAAACAACACAAAACTAACTCTGATTCCTCCTCCTAGCCATAGTACAGGTTTATTCATTCATATATGCATATGATAAATATGTACTGAGAACCTAAGTGCCAAGCACTGACCTTGGGCTGAGAGCAGAGCAGGAGCAAGGGTCTCTGCAGCCTTCCAGGAGCACAGGCTGGGGGAGGTGGGATCTTCAGAGCTAGCCGGCTGTAACTGGAGAGCAGGGCAGTGTGGGGAGCCTTGGGAGTGGATCCCCCTCTACAAGCCTGAGCTTGACAAGTCACTGAAACGCTCTGGACTTGTGTACTTACATTCCACGTTGCAAATTGGGCGCCTACCTCGTCGGGCTGCTGCAAGAATGGAAGCGAGCTATGCACAGTGCCTGACACCTATAGATCCTCGACACTAACCGTATGGTCAGCAGGGTACGGTTACTCTGGGAGAAACACGGGAGCTGGGGCCGTAACCCATGCCGCGTGGTAAAGTCACGAGGAGTCCCATGGTCTCCGCCACCCACCAAGTCCCGAGGCTTCCTGATACTCTGCATTAACTTTCTTGTTGCTCTTTTACGGGTTCCTGCCCAAGAGTGCAGCCTCAAACACCTACCGCAGGTAAGGGGGGTCGCATCTCGCGACTTCGCCAGCAGCTGCCAACCGGTCCTTAGCTACGTAGCACCGCCCTTAGCGCAGGCGCAGTCTACACCACAAGCGCAGAGCGTCCGGCCCCGCCCACCAGGAGGCGGGGTCCGCGTCCTGGCCCCGCCCCGGCCCCTGCTCTCTAGGCAAAACGGGATCCCGGAGCTCCGCGACGAGGCTGCGTGGGGCGCCGATGAGCCGCGCCGAGGGTTGGGCCGCGGGCGGGGCCACAGCTGCGGTTGCCGCGGGGACCCGGCAGGGACTTGGCCCGAGGACGGAAGTGGGAAAGTTGTCGGAGTCCCTGAGAGCGGCGGAGCTGTGCGCGCGGCGGCCATGGGGGGCTCGGGCAGTCGTCTGTCCAAGGAGCTGCTGGCCGAGTACCAGGTGCGCGGGACGCAGCCCTCGGGGCCTCGCGCGCCACCTGCTCCCAGAAGCGCGCATTCTGGCGCGGCGGCAGCGGCTCTCTGACCACCGTTCTCTGGCTTTGCCTTCCAGGACTTGACGTTCCTGACCAAGCAGGAGATCGTCCAGTGAGTGAGGTCCCGACTCCCACTTCCAAGGCACCCAGGGGCTCCCAAGAGGCGGATTCGGGGGCGCTGACACCCGGGGCAGCAGGACTGTACTGGAGGGCACCCCTCAGGATCCAGAAGCTGGGCTGTTGGACCCTGCGCCTTCCTGGTGTCTCCCCCCGCCACTTCCTTCCCAGGCCTGGCAGCCCTGCTCCTGTTTTCTGCCACCTTTGCCCACAGGCAAAGCCAGAGACACCTTCGGAGCCACTGCCTTGCTTGGACTTTATCTGAATAATACTGTTACCGTTAATGCTTGTGGAGCATTTAGCGAGCCAGCAACTATGTTAAAGGGTTTCTTGCTTTACCATCTTGAGGAGGGAGGTACAGGACAAAAAGGCAGGCTCTAAGAGGTCAGGTGACTTGCCTAAAACCTGGGAGGAAAAGAACTTGTGTGGGCCACGGCACCAGAGGCAGCAGATTCCTGGGCTTCTCTGGAAAACGCCAAGACTGTTCCCTTGGGAAGGGGGTGGCAGTCGAGGAGCAGCAATCCCTGGAGAGAAAGGATGTGTTTTTGCTCTTTTTTTCCCTGATGTTATAACCAGGCATTAATATCCCTCCAGAACCTTTCTATCCCACAGGAGTCTCTGAACTGAGTCTGGCGCACAGTAGGCCCTCGTAAAGACCTGTCACAAGAAAGGACTGACAGCCTGTGTCTTAGCTCCCTTTGGCTGACCTTTGCCCAATGACTCAGAAGTTCTGAACTTGTGGCTCAGTTCCTACCTGGTTTATAAAGGGCTGCCAGGCAAGGCGCTGGGATATGGAACCCTTGGGAAGACAGGAGAGAGGACCAGTGACTTCCTCTGTTTCTGCCAGAGCCCACAGACGGTTTTCTGAGCTGCTTCCTCGGGACAAACAGAATGTGGAGGACTCCCTGCGGGAACGTGTTTCCTTTGAGGATATCCTCAGCATTCCAGAGCTCAAGGTGCAAGCCCTGTACCCCTTCATGCACCTTGCTTTGCTAGATCCCTGTCTTCCTGCCACTCAGTATAGATCACGGGGTACCTGGTTCACATTCTGCTCTCTGTTCCTTCCTTTTCTCCTTCCTTTCTTTTCTTTTTGGGCTACAGGGAGTTCAAGGCCAGCCACGAAGATATGTGACCCTGCCTCAAAAATAAACAAACAGGCTGGGCATGGTGGTGCAGCAGGAGGCTGAGGCAGAAGAATTGCCACAAGTTGGAGGCCTGTGTGGGCAGAATAGTGAGTTCAAGTCCAGCTTGAACTAGGCAGCAAGACTGTCTCAGAAAACAAAACAGAAATAGGACTGGGGGTATAGCTTAGCAGCGTGGTGCCTGTCAAGCCAAGCATGTGATCCTCAGTTCAATTTCCAGTTTAAAAAAAAAGAAAAAATATATATATATATGATTATATATTATATTATAATTACAATATTATTATATATAATTTTTAGCTCATCTTATCCTCTTCCTTTGGCTGCTTTTCCCAAGGCTTATGCTTTTGAGCTAGACTTCCAGGAAGCCACCCCATCCCCATCCCCTTCTCCAGCTGCCAGCTAGCTCCTGTGTCCCTGACCTCCTGTGCCTGTGCAGAGTGACCATAGACCTGAGCTCTCTAGTACTGGCTGACACAGTGACCTATTTCTTCACTTTTGAATGGGGGTGTGGCATGTGGGTGTCCCAAGCTGTATTTGTGGCCCTTACAAAAGACTGTTCTTGTTCCCAGGCTAACCCCTTCAAGGAGCGAATCTGCAAGGTCTTCTCCACAGCCCCTTCCAGAGACAGTCTGAGCTTTGAGGACTTCCTGGACCTCCTGAGTGTGTTCAGTGACACAGCGACCCCAGATATCAAGTCCCACTATGCCTTCCGCATCTTCGGTAAGGGTCCAAAGGGGCTAGTTGTGTGCCCCATCTACACAGACTTCACAATTGCCCTGCTTGGGAAGTGGGACCCCCTGGTGTAGTGTAGAGCTCTGACTGCAGTTCCTTCTTGGCTTCCTGTGTGTGCTCGCTAGACTTTGATGATGATGGAACTCTGGACAGGGAAGACCTGTGCCGGCTTGTGAACTGTCTCACGGGTGAAGGCGAAGACACTCAACTCAGCGCTTCAGAGATGAAGCAGCTTATTGACAATGTGAGTGGTGGCCTGGCCACGCCTGGGCACCCCATGCATGGGAGGGAAAGGCTGGGGCTCCAGCCTAAAGCTGTCTGGTTTCCAGATCCTGGAAGAGTCTGACATTGACAGGGATGGGACCATCAATCTCTCTGAGTTCCAGCATGTCATCTCACGTTCACCAGATTTTGTTAGGTATGATAGTGGTCCCCCTGCCTTCCAGGTACTTACAGGTCCTTGTCTGCTGCATCTGGATCTGGGTGCTATTATGGGAGATAGTACTGAAGCAAGAGAGAGCTCTAGGCCCCTCTGAATGTCTTGGGTCACTCTTCAATGGGGAGGGCACCAACATATCCAGACATAGCCCATTCCAAAGAAAGGTCTTAGGGAAAAGGTGAAAAATTTGGGCTTAGTTTCTACCTTCCTCTTCTGTCAGAAAACCCAACTTGGGCTGGGGGTATGGCTCTGTGGCAAAGTGCATGCTAGGGTTCCATCCCTAGCACCAAAAAATAGACAAAATCAAAATAAGTAAAAGGTGCCACGTGTGGTGGCACACACCTGTAATCCCGACACTCAGAAGACTGAGGCAGGTAGATCACTGTGAGTTCAAGGCCAGCTTAGGCTACAAAGTGAGTTCAAGGACAGTGTAAACCTCATAGTGAAACCCTGTTTCAAGTAAAAGAAAAAAAGGAAAAGTGAGAAGAAAATCCAACTCAATATTTTTCTTGTGCAGCTCCTTTAAGATTGTCCTGTGACTGCAGCCCCAGTGTACATCTCAGCACACCCAGTCCAAGACCTTCCTGCTGCTGAGCTGTGGCCAAGGTCATGCCCACGTCATCAGGGCCGGCCAAGCTGGCCCAGCCTGGAGCTGGCACTGCAGTCGGCCGGGGCAGGGAGGGCCCTGCCCCCACACTCTTCACTGATCTGTCATCACCGTTTCTACTGATCAGTAATAAAAGCTTTATAAGTTTTGATCCTTGCATGTGTCACTAGAAACACTGGTGGGGAAAGATTGGGCTTCTAGAAACTTTTGATCATGGTAGCAGTGAGTCCCATCAAAAGAAGGGACCAGCAGTAAATAGGGGAGGTTTGTTTTATTTCTTTGGTTCTGATGACCAAACTCAAGGCTTCCAGCTTGCTAGGCAAGCATTCTACTGCTGAGCCAAATCCCCAGCTCCCACCAGCAGGAAATACAGCTCGACTCAACCTCCTCCACCCAAGTGGGGAAATTCTCTGTTTTTGATTATGGTGGTGGTTACATGAATTTCTACATTTTGTGTGTTTTTCTTTTTTGAAATGAGTGTATGCCTGGGATGATCTGAAACTCCTGGGCCCAGGTGTTCCCTGTACCTCAGCCTCCTTGTACCTCCAAAACCACAGGTACCTGGTACCCTATCCAGCAATGAGTTAAAATTTGAAGGCAGAGGGCTGAGGATATAGCTCAGTGGCACAAGCACCTGCTTGGCAAGCACAAGGTCCTGAGTTCAAGTGTCAGTACAAAAAATTCAAGGCAGCACATTAAGAGAAGAAAGTCAGTGTTGACAAATGATCACTTGAAAAATAGTAAAAGGTTCCTGCCAGGCATAGTGATAACATGATAGTGATAAATCCCTGTAATCCTAGCACTCAAGAGGCCGAGGCAGGAGGGCTGTGAGTTTAAGACGGACTTAAATTACATAGTAATGCCCTATGCACATGAATGGTTGCCTAACATGCATGAGGCCCTGGGTTCAGTCCTCCCCACAAAGCAAGGAGATAAAATGAAGGGGTTGATGTGAATGGAGTCAACCACTGGCTGGACTACTTCTGGCTCCTAGGGCCTAGAAAGAAGGTTCAGGAACCCCAGAAACACATCAAATCTCAAATGGTATAAGTCCTTCAAGAGGAAGGATGATGATTAAACATTTAATTCTTCAGACTATCTTTTAAAAAAGAAAAAGTAAAGTGCATTTTTATTTAAAAAAAAAAATACAAAAACCCACAGGCATTCAGGACCCTGTGCTGGGCAGTGTAAATATCCCTTGTAGTGGAGACAAGTGAGGAGGAACCAGGCTGGGGATAAGCTGGGCTCCATGGAGTTCCCTGTGCTCAAGTTTGAAGAGGGGCTGACATGGTACAAGGGACACACAGTTCTCAGGCTGGGATGAAGGAAGGCAATCAACAGTCTCTTCCTGAGGCAAAGGGCTACGTGGTCACAAGGTCCTGGGCTTTTGCTCCTGCCTTGTAGCCACAGCCTGATACAGGCTGGAAAGGTCCGAGAGCAGGGTCTGAGCCCAGGTCCTGGGGAGGGCTGCACAGCCAGCCAGCCCTCTGGTCCCTGAGGTGCAGGTGATAGCACCGAGCTATATCCTGGCCGGCTGGCATGAGCTGGCCACCGGCTCTGGTAAGAAAGCATAGTGGGTGGTAGGCTAAGGCGAAGGTCGAAGAGGCCAGTTGGCGCAGGGTTTCCATCTCTGTCCCACACCACCTGGGATGTGTCCCCAGCATTGCTTGGAGGAGGGAATTGGGTGGCAGTGTATGTGTGAGGCATCTCCATTGTCTCTCTTCCCGCGCCCTCTGGTTTCACATTTTTCAGCTGTTTTTAAACAAAGGGCTCAGTTCACGTAAGGAGCATCGTCCTGCCCAAACGGGCAATGCCCTGGCCCTGGAGGACTGACCATCTCCTCCTTGTACAGGACCACTGGGCACCAGGCTGGGTGTTAGGGGCCTTGCCTGTGGCTGGACAGCAGCAGGTTGGGGGCCCCCTGGTTCCCAAGGGCAGGCACCCTGGCCGGCCATATTCATGAGGCGTGAGTCCAGCTGACACCCTCAAGCAGTCACAGCCCTGAAGCCAGGATGGCTCTGTCACACCACAGAGTCACGGATTTCAGAGCCCAAGCGGACCCGGGGCCGAGGGCATACGGGGGACACCTCAACAAAGCTGTCCTGGATGCTCAGTGGCCTCTTCTCGGACTCTGTGAAGACCCGGGGCCCTGGGGAGCTGTCTGACAGAGCCTGGTAGCCTCGGTGGTCCAGCGGGGTGCTAGGGGGGCCAACACCATTGAGTGGTCGGGTCTCAGGTGGCAGCACCACAGGGCGAGTCTTGGGGTGCACAGTTGCACATTCCCCCTGCTTCAGGAAGACCTTCATGCCGTCCCGGTGCCGATAGAGGAAGAACAGGAACAGAAGCACTACAGCGAGCCCAAAGAGCGTGCACATCACCAGGAACTCATTCCAGTAGGACTTGTCCACACCCCAGCTGGACCTGCCAGCAGCTGGCGCGCTCACCCTTGATGTGTTAATGATAACAGGCACACTGCCGCCCTGGTCTGTTCGGTGTGCCACCCCATCGTCCACCACTTCCGGGCAGTAGTGGGCCACCAACTGCTGGAAACCTTCCTCTTGTGACCAACACTCAAAGACTCCCAGCCTCTCCTGGCTGCCCACCAGCAGCAGGTCCCCAGTGGGCAACACCCGGTAGGAGGATGAGGCATTGAGAGGGGCCTTGTCATGCAGCCAGCGCCGGGTGGCCAAGTTGGACAGGAGAGGGCAGGCCAAGGTGTTCACTGTGTTGGGCCGGAACTGGATGTGCTCACATGGCTTCCGGTCTGCAGGCAGAAGAGGCACTGTGTAGAGGGTGCCATGGTCTACAGTGGCCACAGGCTGACCCACCCTGGCAGTGATAGGCAGAGCTAGAGGAAGGAAGATGAGGGGGGATTTATCCCGCCAGCGCCTGGAGGAATCATCCCAGCAGATGCCCCGCAAAGCCTTCTTACCTGCCCTTCCAGAGGCCTGGGACTTGGCCCTGGAGGTGTTGCAGAGCTCCTTGGCATTGCCTCCTTCAACGTCCTGGATCCACGGCCTAAGGACCAGAGAGAATCTGGAATCAACCAGGAAACCCTGAGCCCGTAGACACAGACTTGGACCTGGGGAGGGGTCCAGAGCCCAGGGCACACGAGTCCCTGAGCACTGGGGTTGGAAGGAGACTCATGTGCTGATTCCCCAGGCCACTGGGTCTCCTGTGTGCATGCAGTGTGAACCAAAGTGACAGTCTGTTTCCCTGAATGACAAAACAGTGTGCCTCTGAAGGCCTGCACAGACTCTGAGTAATGCACAAGCACTGACCTGCCTCCGAAACCTTTCTCAATGCCACAGGTTAACCAGGGGCATCTACCACTGAGCTACCTTCTGCATTCCTAGTCCTTCTTTCTTTAACCATTATTTTAAATTTTGAGACAAGCTTTAAGTTTCCCAGGCTGACCTTTGTGATCCTCCTATCTCAGCCTCCCCATAGCATGGATTATAGGATGTGTCACTACACCCAGCTCTTATTTAGTTTTTTGAAATATAAAACAGACATCAGATGCACCCATATATATGAAGCAAGAATGCTACAAATAGGGAATCTAATATTCCCATCCCTTAGGTATATAATAAATTCACATTCCTTTTCTATTAAAAAAGCAAAATGGAATACTACAAGTGTGATAGAACCCATGTTTGTTTAAAACATTTGGATTTTTCTTTATTTTACACATATGCAAGAAAAATAATGAAAAGCAGAATGTCACAAAAAAATTTTTTGTCTTTTTTTTGAGACAGGGTCTCACTATGCAGTTCAGGGTGTCCTTGAGCTCACTTTGTAGCCCAGGCTGGTCTTGAACTTGCCACAATCCTCCTGCCTCAGTCTGCTGAGTGCGGGGATCACAGGCACGCACCTCTATGCCTGCCTACCAGTCCTTTTTATTTTTATTTTTTTTAAATTGCGCAGGGTCTTGCTAAGTTCTCCAGGCTGGACTTGGAACTTGGGGTCCTCCTGCCTCAGTCTCCCTGCTAGAGTGCTAAGATCACAGGTATGTGCCACCATTCCTAGCTAACTTTTTTTTTTTTTTTGCCCTTACTGATGTTCATGTGCCAACCAGCATTCTCCTACCAGGCTTTTCACAGCTGTGACATTTCATACCCTATCAGCCTCATCCCCCTTTAGGCAGGGAAGGCAAACACAGACTATCTGAAAGGAAGTGCAGGGCTCATGAACACTCAGACTGAGACTGGGTGTAATGAGCCCCTGGGCTGGGCCTACACAGACCTGGAGCAGGCCCGATGGCCTCTGGGAGCTCTTACCTGGAGGCCATCTCAGGCTGGTAGAGGCTGACGTCCCTGCAGCTGGAGCCATTCCAAGCACAGTAGGGGTCTCGGGCGAGGACGCAATCCCCACAGCTCTGGTACAGGCTGCAGTTGGCCACAGGCACCTGGACTACGCCTGAGTGGGATGCCGCATACAGCAGCCCCTGTGCAGCCAGACCGCAGGGATGAGAGGCAGGCATGGGCACCCCGGCCCACCACCCATGGCCACACCTAGCTTGCTCACAGCCCACTAAAGCCACCCCAAAGGGGACTGTCATCTTCCTGATGACCCATGCCACAAGGTTGGATTCCATAATGTTGCACCTTGCTGGGAAGGGAGGAAAAGCCAGGTAGGGACTGTCTGCTGCTGAGTGAGCGCCACCCCCAGTGTACTGCCTGAGGTCCTTCCTCGCCCACTCACCCTGTGGCTGTCCAAGAGCAGGTTCTGCACGGGCTGTGCTGCAGAGAACACCTGCAGCTCCTCAATGATGTGCACCCTGGGGCCAATGCCCACAGCCTTGTGCAGCCGGCCATCACCTGGGGTAGGGAGCATCTCAGGCTCTGCTCACCATGGCCCACTGCCTGCAACCCTGCATCCCCCAGCCATGCCCCTGCCCTGACTGCCGGGTCACAAGCACTCACCAGTGCCCAAGAAGAGGACATCATAGGTGCGGCCCAGTGCAGAGACGCGGTGCACAGCCACTCGCTGGTAGCGGGCGCGTGGCTGCAGCAACAGCATCTGACTGCGCACCTGGCCGTCCATCAGGAAGTGGTCCTTGAGGAAGTTGAGCACTCGGTCTGGGAGCTGCAGGGAAGAGTAGATCTTCCGCTCCCGGACAGAGTTGGTGATGCACTGAGGAAGAAGACAGCAGCTTGAGCCAGGACAGACGGGCCCTGTCTCCCCAGTGGGGAAACACCTGACCCCTGCAGAGCGCCAATAGGATGGGTTGAAGGCCAAGGGCAAGGCCAAGGTGTGGGAGACCTCGTATCCCTCTTTGTACCCCCTCCCCAGTACCCTTCCTTCTACCCTAGCTCTGAGCAGAGCCCAGCTGAACATAGCCCTGGGGAGATGCCTGGCTGCCGGCTATCCTTTGACTGTGAGGGATAGTAACACACTGGGGACCCTTGCCCAGTGGCACATGTCATTATCCTTTTGTTTGGGGTCCCTCTGCCTCTCAGCTGTGAGCTCCTTTACTTAGCAGGTTACATTAACCAGACTCAAAGTGACAGACCTATCTTCTTTCCTTCTAGCCCAGTGGCTCCCCCAGAAGCAGACCCTTATAGGACCCAAGTCCCGCCGGCTGCCCTGAGTGAGGCCCATAGCTCCTGCTGCTACACAGGTAGTGCTCAGGCACACACCTCTCCTGCCTTTCCTCGCTCCCTCTCACCCTGCCTATTTTCACGCTGTTTCCAGGGTCCCCTTCCAAGGTAACTATGGCCACTCAGTTCCTCTTAGGTTCTGCTTCTAGGGGAGCCACTGGGCTATAAGGAAAGAAGACAGGACTAGCCAGGCGTGGTGACATACACCTGTAACCCCAGCACTAGGAAGGCTGTGGCAGGAGGATTGTTGTGAGTTCAAGACCAGCCTGGGCTACAAAGTGAGCTCAAGGCCAGCCTGAACTGCACAGCAAGACCCTGGCTCAAAAAGGAAGAAAAAAACAACCAAGACTGTTGCCTACGGCTGGGTCACCTATGACCTGCTAATTAAGGAGCTGATAGCTGAGAGGAGGAAGGGACCAAGCAAAGGGACAACGACAAAATGTGCACTTGGTCTGATGGGAATTCATGCCCAGCCTAAGACAGGGTAGGGCCGAAGACATCACAACACCCGCGTCATATCTCACTGTACAGTGGGCCTGGGCGTGTCCCCAGTTTAAAGATACGAAAACATCCAGGGAAGCTGTGTGATCTATCTTGGCCCCCCAAGTCCTCCCTGCCATACCCTGAGTAACAGGAACTGATACCCACCGACCCAGGCCGGGGTGTGGGCACCGAGTGTGTCACTGTGTACCACTGCTGCGTCTCACGGTTCACCTCCTTGTAGAGGCCACTGAAGGCCCTCTGCACATCGTTCATGGAGAAAACACACACAGCAGAGCCCTCGGTGGTCCCCCCATTCCTGCAATGCAGACCTAGGATCAACCCCAGAACCCCAGGCAGGCTCTTGGGCCTGGCCCCGGGCATCCTCTACCCTCCTAAGCCTAGCCAGGCCCAGGCCCTACCACTGGGATGTGAAGACCCCATAGAAAAGGGTTTGTCTCCAGTCCTGGGGGGTGGGGCTCAGTGTGAAGACATCCTGCAGCACGTTGAATGGGAAGCCATCGTCGGGCCGTGAGCACAGCAGCTGGGCCTTCAGGAAAGATGTCCAGCGTTGCTGCAACACCCGCTCGCCACCCTCGTCGCCCTGGAGGAGGCAGATAAAGCTGAGGCACAGGCGCAGCTGGGGCAGCCCCACTGTCCCCTCCCAGTATTCACCGAAAATGAAGAAGGGGCAAGAGCCAGGGCACAGTTCCATCTAAAGTCCAGAAACTTCGAGGATGACACAGCTTGATGGTTCCCACCTGCAATCTGGGCACTCTGGGAGGCTGAGGCAGGAGGATTGCAAATTTGAGCCCAGCCTAGCTCAGTGGCCCCTTCTTATAGACTTGGTGGGGGTCATAATATGAAGAGTTCATGTTTAATCAGGGACCATCACACTCCTCAGAGATAAATTTAAACACAAAACAATTCTGAGAGTGGTGGTATTATTTTCATCTGACAGGGGGAGCCATTTCACCTAGAGGGTGAAGCCTCTGCCCAGCACCCCAGGATTCTGGGAGTTGATTTTGGCAGCAGGGTGTCTAGCACCTCTGCCTTTTAGCCCAGTACTATGCGCTCGCTCTCTCTCTCTCTCTCTCTCTCTCTCTCTCTCTCTCTCTCTCTCTCTCTCTCTCTGTGTGTTTGGGGGAGGGTACCAGGAATCAAACTCAGAACCTCACACCTGCCAGGCAGGCACTGTACCACTGAGCTAAATCCTTGATCCCAAGCTCTGTATCTTACAAGTCTGTGTGTACCTTTCTGTATTTTCACAGTTAAGAAGAAAAAAAAAAAAAAAAAAAAATACCAGTAAGACCTCTTAATTTAAGAGGAGAGTGACACTGGCTGTTGGCCCAGCTATTTCCCAGAGGCTTGAGCAGAACCTGAGGTCCTTTACCTACAGATCCCGCACCCTCACCTTGCAGATTCGGGCCACGCGCGACACAATAGTGTTCTCAAAGAACTCAAACTCCTGGCCAGTCTCACTGAAGAAGAAGTAGATCTTGTCATCATCGCCGTGCGAGCTGCCCAGACTCTCTGGGATGTAGGCTGAGGCCACAAAGGCAGGATCTGTGGGGGCCAGATGCGAGCACAGAGTCAGCAGAGGAGTCCTGGGGCACAACCCCCTCACCCCCCCACTGACGACTGCCGGCCAGAGAGGAACTTCACCTTGCAGCCAGTTGAGGGAGCTCTCGGTCTTGGTGGGGCGCAGGCTCTGGCTGCGGGAAATGGCCGGGTCGTTCCCCTGGAAGCTGCTGACTGTTCCAGTGTAGAGCTCCCCATCTGCCAAGAAAACGTTCCCATGGGAATGACTGCCCTGGCTGGGTCCCTTCTCCCAGCTGGGGGCCCAGAGTGACCCAAACACTATCCATCCTGCCTACAGTGGGCAGAGAGGGAAGCAGGAACTTGGAAAACAAACCCCAGGGAGAGCCAGGGTCCCACTGTCACTCACCCTGGGAATTGGCACAAGGACCCACCCTGCCCAGAGCTGGCCCCTCTTCTGCCCTGACACTCACCAACCACCAGGGCTGTGGACTTGAAATTGGGGTCAAAAGGACAACGTCCCTTCCCATCTTCCAGGAGGACATTCCCTGCCTGGTCCTGTGCCAGGGTAAAGTTCTCCACACTCTGCAGGGGAACAGACAGGTGGGCTCAGGAGGGCCAGGGAAAGAGGAGGTGAAGGAGATGGGACAGCCATCAGAGACATCACCGGCAGGGGTAGAGCACAGGACAAGAGGGCGCAGGTGTCAGAAAGGCTGTACTCCTCCCCAAGCACCATCTTGGTGCTACCTGGTCTGCAACAGGCACTGTCACCCCCTCATTCACCCCACAGGAGGCAAGAATCAAAAAGTGATTAAAACACCACAAGGTGGAACCAAGTATTTCCATCTCCAAAGCTGGGGATTCACTCCCAGGCCCCAAGGCCACCCTGTGTTAGAGGAAAAGGCCAGGGGTGCATGCTGAGAGGGGAGTGCGAGGTGACAGCAGGACTGAGTGAGGCAGGGGGAAGATGCTGGCAGCAGGGACAAGCCCAGGGTCCTAGGCATTGGCTCTCTCAGGAAGCCCCCCCACCAGTGCCAGGATCAGTGCTCTGCGTAGACAGAGCTCCAGGGAGGGAGCACTCACTATGTAGGTGCACAGAGGGCTGAAGGCCGAGGTGCCACAGGTGAACAAGTGGGTGCTGTTGAGTGGCAGCAGGATCTTGATGTAGTTCTGACAGTCTCGCTAGGGGGAGAAAGGACAGGATGAAGGCCCAGTCCTTCTCACCAGGGCCAGGGCCACAGCTATGGGTACCCTGGGCTGGGGCACTTGGGTTGGGGCACTTAAGTGTGGGAAAAGATGAGGGACCAGAAGCTTCCTGCAGAGAGAGGCGGGTGCTGTGAGCTTGCAGTAGGAGCCTTGGGCTGCAGGTCCTCGGATCGGCAGCAATTCCTTCCCTCTGGCCTTTAAGGCCCTTCCAGAGGCTCAGTGGAGCTAGAAGGTCCCTGCTGACCAACTAGAGAGGAATGCACAGCCCAAGGGAGGAGGAAACACCAGCTTGAACCCTGAGCCCCACGCACACAGCACCTGGAACCACGTCTCTGACCCAGAGCTGACCACGCCTCAGCCTGCCCCTGGCACCTTCCAGGCCTCCTAATGGCAGCTCCATCTTTCCAGTGGCTGAGGCACTAAGCCTAGAGTTACTCAAACCCCATAGTTTTCCATCCAGAACTCCTCCTGGCTCCATCCTCAAACACTACCCTTTTCTTTTGGGTTTTTGAGGCAAGGTCTTGCTATGTGATCAGGCTGGCCTCAAATTCACAGCACTCCTCCTGCCTCATCTGGAATCCGACCACTTCTCACTGCTTTTACTGACCTGGGAACAAGCCACTGTCACCTCTCACCCCTCACTGGTCTCCTGTCCTGCCTAGCATGCTGAGCAGGGTGAACCTTTGAAAGCACAGGGACCACACACCAAGTCCAGAGTCCTGTCCATTCCCAGCCATTTCCCAGCCAACCCCCTCTTCTCCTTCTCAAGCTCAGCCCAAATGTCTTTCCTTTGGCTTTTTTGTAGTACTAGGGATCAAACTCCGGGCCTGGCCCACACGAGGCTCAGATGTCTCATTTTAAATTAAGTATAACCAGAACACTGTTCTTTTGGTGTTGTTTTTTTTTTTTTTTTGGTGGAACCAGGGATTGAACTCGGGCCATAGGCTTGCCAGGGAAGCGCTTATTCCACTGAGCCATCTCCCCGGTCCTTTTTTTTTTTTTGAGACAGTCTTGTCATATACCTCAGGCTGGGCTAGAACTTGCAGGCCTCCTGACTCAATCACCTTTTTAAATTGATTTTCTGATTTTTTTTTTATACTGGGGATCCCCCCCCCCCATATTTAGTACAAGGTCTACAGGGTCTCAACTATACTGGGGCTTGAACTCACAGCCTTTGCACTGAGCCACATCTTCACCTCTTTTTTATTTTTTGAGGCAGAATATTGCTTAACTTGCTCAGGCTGGGCTTAAATGTGTGATCTTCCTGCCTCAGCCTCCAAGAGTGCTAGGATTACAGAACTGTACCACCACCCCTGGCTTGGCTGTTTTCTCTTTTCCACAATAGTATCTCCACTGCCTGAAGGAGAGAGGCATAAATAAGTGCTGAATAGATTCTGGGATCTAGCTCAGTGGTAGCACTCCTGCTGGCATGGACAAGGCCCTGGTCTGATCCCTAGTACCACAAAAAAGAAAAAGGTAGATCAAATGCTTATTAAGTGTTTGCTGAATACAAGTACAACTAGACAGGGACAGCCAGGACTTGAACCTGTGTTTTGACCCCCCAAGTCTCTACCCTGGATGCCACCAGCTGCCTTCAGGACCAAGAAGCCTCTAAGGACTGTAGGTGTCACCCAGGGGAACCTTGGCTTGGGCCAGACCCCACACAATGGTTCAGCCCAATGTCAGACCTGCAACATCTGGGACCATTTATAGATAGACACAGCTCCCCACTCCCCCGTCCCTGCTCAGGTTGGAAGCCAGTGTATACCAGCATTTATGTGGTTGGTCCCTTACACCTATGAGCTTGCTGCAGCCTGAGGAAACCCAGTGACACAAGTGTCCCTGTCCCCATCTTACAAGTGGACACACTAAGGCTGGGCAAGGTCAATCAACTTGTCTACACTCCTAGAGATTTTACATCTGGGATTGGAATTTGAACCCAGAAGTGGCCACCATCTCAGAAACCTGAGGCCTCTCTGCCAGCCCTGGCTATGCCCACCCTCACCTCCTGCCTGTCACGTACTCCGCTCAACACAACACCCCTCCCCACCCCTGTCAGCACTATGGCCCCGTAGCTGGCTCACCTTTGGGTCCTTGCCTTTGAAGCTGCACTGCTGCTTCCTGTCTGCATCCGCAGGCCATAGCAACTAGGAGAGAGGAAGTAAGCGTGTGAGGACCCAGGAGTCCCCAAGTCACCCTCCTCAACTGCCTGCATCCTGGGAGCTGGAAGGTCAGGCCTCTTGCTGGCAGGGCCAGCCCCAGAGCTACTTACCTGCTGGTACTGCCCCCCTGGCAGGAAGCTACCACTGCTATTGAGAGCAAAGAGGGTCTCCCGGGCGCCCACGTAGAGGGTGCTGCCGTCTCTGCTCAGCAAAAGGGCTGTGTAGTTGGAGACATTTTGGGCTTCAAACTTGAGGATCGGCCTCTCTTTGGAGCCTGGGGGAAGAAAGAGGGGTGACTTGGGTCTCCCAGGAGAAACCTTTTGTACACACCTCTAGAACTGAATGAAAGGTGGCCAGGTTAATGGATGGCAGCCAGCAAGGCCTTGGGAGGCCAGTGGCTGGTAACAGGGGAGGGCCGGTTTCATGGGGAAGCAGGATTCCTGGTCTCTCCAGCATTATATATGAAGCAATGGGCCAGGCATGGTGGTACACACCTGTGAGCCCAGCACTTGGGAGGCAGGTGCAGGAGGCTTATTGTGAGTTTGAGGTCTTCTAGGCTACATAGTAAGACCCTGTCTCCAAAAAAAAAACAAAAAACAAACAAACAAAAAAAAACACCACCCCCCCCCACACACACAGAAATGGCCAGGTATGGTAGTAGCACATGCCTGTCATGCCAGCACTCAGGATGCTGAGGCAGGAGGATCACTGTGCGTTTGAGGCCAGCCTGGACTACATAGTGAGACCCCGTCTCAGAACGGCTACCAAGAGAAGGGAACACACACGCGCAATCTATGCTGGGTCCTGCAGCCGAAGCTGGCTCACCCTAATGGAGTAGTGCAAACAGGGCCCTGGTCTGCAGCCCTGACCGCCAGCCCGATGCTCTCCTGGGAGACTCCTTGTTACTGAACAGAATACAAATGTTATCAGCTTTGAGTCATGGTACCAGGATGCAGTGGGTGACGGGGTGGGGACATGGCCAAGGAAGAGTGCAGACTCCAATCTTTCCCAGGGGGTGGGAGTCAGTCAAGAGGCACGCAGTGGCTGGGTGTGTGCAAGGCCATGAGTTTGATCCCCCACACTGGAAAAAAATAAAAATAAAAAGAATTTTTTAAAAATGAGGATCATACCAGACATTTAAAAAAGAAACAGAAAAAAAAAAAGAAAGAAAAAGAAACAGAGCCTGGTATGGTGCCACATGCCTACAATCCAATGTATAAGAAGCTGAGAAAGGAAGATGACAAGTTGGAGGCCATGGGCTAGTGAGATGGCTCAGTGGTCTAAAGCACCTACTTAGAACAAGCTTAGCAAAGCACAGGGACCGTGGTTCAATCCCCCAACACCACATGCCCGCCAGCTCTGCACCCTGGTGGGCTGAGCTGGCCACACAAATAAATAAATAAATAAATTTTTTTTTAAAACACTTAAAAAAAAACAAGTTGGAGGCCAGTGTGAGCAACTTAGCAAGCCCATGTCTCAAAATAATAAAAGGCCTGAAGCTGAGCATGGGGGTCCACACTTGCAATCCCAGCACTCAGGAGGCTGAGGCAGGATACTTGTTGCAAGTTGGAGACCAGCTTGGGCTACAATGTGAGCTCAAGGCCAGCCTGAACTGCATAGGAAGATCCTGTCTGAAAAATAAGTAAATAATTTTTTAGAAAAGGGTTGGGTATGGGCTGGAGAGATGGCTCAGTGGTCTAAAGCACCTACTTGGAACAAGCTTGGCAAAGCACAGGGACCGCAGTTCAATCCCCCAGCACCACATGCCA